GCCATCAAAATACATGCAGATAGTAAAGGCAAAGAGAAAGTAAAACATTTCCTCAGAGTTCTAAAGGCAGTTCTAGAATTCAGAGTATACACACTGAACTTAAAAAGATAAACTTTCAAGTTGAATTTTTAGATATATGGTAACCCTCACAGCAATATCTATAGCACCACTCTTCTTGCTATCAGTAATCTTTCAGAGGCTCTGTGAGGTGCAGAGTCAGTGAAGTAGCTCAGTGAAGAAGTTGAGACAAGAAAGACAGGTTCCATTGAGAACTCCCTTTCCAGTCCCACAAATGCAAGGTAAGGCCATTTTTTTTTTTTACTTAATTAAAAGCCATTAAACATCTAACAATCAGAATATGAAATCCTATTACTCAGAAACTATAGAGAGATCCAATATGTTCAATTCCTTCTGCCACCAAAAATGTCCCTTATGGAAAAAGGAGTGTGTTGTCATTTAATCCAATCATCCAACATTTGAGCATTAGACCAGGTGGTAAGGAATTTAAAGGAATTTTCAGAAAATGGATAGCTCCCCCTCTGCCCCTGCCATACCCCTGAGGTACATCTTGCTCAGAATGGAATGAGCTTCAACAATGAGTACATTTCATCAGTGCAGACAGACATTGCTAAAACTACATTTATTATAAAGCTCTTAGATTTGTTAGATTTCCATATTTTATTTTCAATGTTTGCTTGGAATTTTCATGACCACCTATGCCCCCATATTAGAAGTGCCTGTACTAAAGCTTCTAAAGCCTTCTTTTGTGTGTGTGTGTGTGTGTGTGTGTGTGAGGAAGATCAGCCCTGAGCTAACATCCATGCCAATCCTCCTCTTTTTGCTGAGGAGGACTGGCCCTGGGCCAACACCTGTGCCCATCTTCCTCCACTTTATATGGGACACCGCCACAGCGTGGCCTGACAAGCGGTGCATCGGTGCGCGCCCGGGATCCAAACCCTGGCCGCCAGCAGTGGAGCACTTAACCGCTACGCCATGGGGCCAGCCCCCTAAAGCCTTCTTAATGATGGCACTTGGTTAATCTGCAGACCTAGGAGATCATGATTCCTACTGACAATCAAGAGACTAGATTTGAGGAACTTAGATTAAGCAAATCAATCCAAACTCTTAAGGCTGAGCACATGGAATAAAAATGAACTTATCCATAGTGATATGGATTGTATGATCTTTATTATTTTTTAATCCATTAATCTAAAAACCACACATATCAGATCAAACAGGAATACCACAGTATGCTTTATTTTGCAGGTATTATTAGTTTACTAAATTGATATATCCAAAACTTTAGGTAGCAGCAAGGATCAGTTCTTCCAAAAAGGCTTAAGTGAAAAGCAATTCTTTATATTCATGAGTTCAAGGTCCTACTGTCTGATCCACTGTTGAACTGACATAAAAATGAATTCAGTGAGCATAGCTAATTGAATACTCAGGTCATAGATTTGGGGCTTCCTGTATTTTATTGGGGTTGAAGCAGCTTTTGTTTTAACCCTCTGTTAATATTTTGTATTTTAATCTTAATTCTCAAAGAAGAATTAAACATATGTTTGCTAATTAAGATACAGCCATGATACCTAATGAAGAATTAGTGATATTAGTCTCCTATCCAAATGGTAGAAAACTTTTAAATGAACCCATAATTTTGAATGTATCTGTATTTCCAATTCACATACTTAGTAAGGTCACAAGCGGATTTAAATAATCTGGTTTCTAGACATTCATCTCAAACATATTTATTGAAATGAAGCCACTGTTCTTTACGGTGCCATCATTTTGACCAAATAACAAATAAACAACTGTTTTCACAGGAGAATATTTTAAAAGAAAACATTCTTTATATACTTAGCAAATAGAGGAGAGCTTGAATCTGAAAGTCAGAGCTAGCGAGTTCTAAGGAAGATGTAACTGAGCAATCTGACTTTCTACTCCAGTTTGGAATATATGCTTCCAAGATGAACATATAGACAGAATAGTAAAGAAAGATTTTGATGAATTTTCTTTCTTCTTAAAAATTTTTTCTAATTCCAATGATTGGCAAAGAGTTCTGGCATAAGTTAACGGCAGCAATACAGGGGTGAGCATCTGCATTGTGCTGAGAGGTAGATTGGGACTTAATCCTTAGATTTAATAACAAACTAACTTTATTTAAGGTTTAGGCTTAATTTTTTAATCCATGGAACATTTTGAAGTAAAAGCAGAGATCTTTGGAAACTTTTCGTTTTAGTCATATAGAGATAAAATAGCTTGATAAACATCTGCCTTATGATAATAACAGGTGTGCAAAGCAGCCATTTGGGACCTAGAGAAATACGACACTGTGCTTCCAAATCAAAGGGCAATTCAGCAGCCTAGCCAATCAAGCAGACAATGGGATGAGTGGTCTGTATGACCTTACTCCAGAAGCCAGAGCCATTAGACATCCCTACAGGGATATAAGTCTATATGAAGATCAACAAATTTACAGAACAATCCCGGTAGAGCTTTGGCTAGGCAGCCATCTGACTGATGACACTTCAGGGCCCACTAGCCTCTAGAATTAGCACTTGCTGCTGCAAGAAAAAAGAAATCAATACATTAAAAATATCAATTAGAACTTATTCATATAGGGAATGGGAGAGCGCAAGAGGCACACAAAGTATAGAAGTTTTTTTGTGGTTTGTTCTTTTTTTAGTGGAGGATGAATGAACTTTCTGAACAAGTTAAGGCTCCAAGGGAAAAAAAAATCAAAAGCATAACCCAAAAAAACCATAACCCACTCTATATCAACACCTTAAAAAAAAGCTGAAGATCTTACTTCATCCTTCAGCAGAAATGTCAAGTCTGAGATAATATATTCAAACTCCAGAAGGCAAAAAAGAGACATCCTTGTTAAAATACAGTTGTAATGAAGAAAACAGCCAGACTTTTGCTATTAAACACAATATCGTGAAGCCATTTCTTTCTTTTTTTTTTTTTAACTAACAGAAAAACACTACATAGATTTAAATAATCCTGATTAGGAGGTAGGGAGAGGAAGTCTTATTACAAACCAAATTTTATGTTTGCCACCAATGAAAATGAGTTCATTATGTTCTTGAATTTATTTCCTGAAGCAAGTTAAATTCTCTAACAGCTTTGATTTTACAAATAATGTCAAAGTAGCAAAATACAAGTAACTGCAACATATAAAATTATACTTCAGCAGAAATTCTTCCTAATTAAATCCAGAGGCTTAAAATCATTATTTACTAAAAAAAAAAATTCTACACCACGGTTTTTCTTTCAATTACATTTTAAGAAAGGAAGAAAAAAATTGAAAAAAAAATTGGTCCTAATATATTTTTTCTTAAATAATTGCTACTCATGCCCAAGTTGGCTAGCAACTCACTGAGGTTAGTCTGCATATCTTAAACAATCAATTGCACAGCATTTCCTGGCTTTTAACCAATGGAAACATAACTTCTGATGGCAAAAAACAAAAAGCACTAGATTTAATTGATTACACAGACTGATAACCAGTACGACTTTTCCTTCTTCCAATCATATAAGAGATAAAGACAACAATTATAAGGAAGCCCAAGGCCACACCCACTGCAACGGGAATAAGAAAGTTGAGGTCAGAGTCAGCAGAACATTCTTCAGCTGTTAGAAAAGAACAGACAAAAAGCAAAGAAAGGAAATTAGTAAGGGATGCAATTAAGCAGAAACAAGCAAACAAGAAACAAGCATTTTGAAAGTGTACATAGATTAGTCTTTTGTAGCATTACCCCGATTTTCTTATTTTCTCTATATCCACCCAAATATTTCTAAGCAACTGATTCTCCTATATCTCTCAATATCACTTCATCTCAAATCACACCTAATTCCTCAGTACAAAAAACAGAAGTTAAGGGAAGAACAGGAAAGTGTCCAAAACACAGAACTGTGCTTGTCTAATGGCACCGTGGAAAAGAGCTATCTATCATCTACACTTACAACCACTGCCTGCATACTTCCCCACTCCCTCTCTCTCTTGCCGCAACTATCATTAAAATATAAATAAGAATTCTGTATGAGTAATAAAATTTAAGTTAAAAAGGACTTAGGATCCAGAAAATGTAGTATAATTTTTTTTCACTCAGGCATTAGGTAGCTACCAGGTCATATATAATCATTTGTAGCTGAGCAGTGGCCTGGAAGAACAATAGCAGAATCCAATACATCGCAGTCCATTCCACTGGACCACCAGGAGGGCAGTGTGTGCAGTGCAGACTCTGAGCTATGGATTCAGACAGAACAGAGTTTGAATCTTGACTCCTTCAATTATTGGCTAAAGGACCTTGGTCAAGTTATTTAAACTAGGCTTCACTTTCCTCATCTGTTAAAAGGGGGATAATAATACCTATATTATAAGGTATTTGAGGATTAAATACAATTATATTTCTAAAGCATTTGATGCACATCAGGTAGTCAACAAGTGTTCATTCCCTTCTCTTTTCCTCCCATGTTTGTGATCCCATCCTAGGAGGTTTAGGTTTTGGAGTAGCAAAGAGATCAAAATAGGAGTGTCTCAGTGTAGTATTATTGCAAAAGTCAATATTCAGTACTTTAAAGAATACTTAAGCAAACGAAGTTGGTATCATGTGTTATTTATTGAAAGTAGTTAGTACAGAAGCTCAAAGTGTGCAATTCTGACTCATAATTTCAAGTTAAACTAGTTTTACCAGTGAGTAACTAGATTTCATTGGGACAATTTTTATCAAAATGCTAATAATGGTTTTGTTGCCTACTAGATACATAACCTCAGTGAAGTCACTCCCCTTTCTGTAAAATTATGGGGTTAGAGTAAATAATCTTTAGGGTCCTTTCCAGTATAAGTCTAATGCAATTAACAAAATGTGCTATTTGTTGTAATTTATGATTGAATAGTAACTTGCATTTTCTTCTAATTTTATTTTTTCCTCCCCTTGCACTTCTGTCATTCATAAAAATAGAAATATAGTTGCTAACAGTTGCTAAGGTTCCGAGTATATAATACGAATTTCAGTGACGACGTTAGCCTTTGTTGAAAGGATTTATATATTTTAGTGAAAGCCTTCAGAGACTGATGGCTGGGTACCAAGATCCTGCAATCAGTGAGTTACAGAAATTCTGAAAAAAACAGTATACACATAGAATGAATTAACAAAATAATCACTTCAGTGTGAACGTCTTCTCAAGTCTATTAAGCTTCCTTCTTATATGTCTGTTATACATTCAATATATGTGTGCCGCACTTATAACATGGAGTATGCTTCAACAGGGGCTGATCTAGTTCATTTTAATGCCAACAGCTTCTCTCTACACCCCTATCTATGCTCTGCCCCACAGGGGCCGTTTTGAAGAAGCAAGAGGCTAGTTGCTATGCTTCACTGCCTCCCTTCTGAGATTGCTGTTAGCTTACATTTCATAAGTACCTGTCTGATGACAACACTAAATAGATTTTAATGCTCTAGAGATCAACAAGATGAGGTAGAGAAACACAACACAATCTGTCCTAATTAGTTCATAGACTATTTCTATCTTTCAGTGCTAATCAGGCATCTAAAGAAGAGAAAAACACAAGGAAAAAAAAGGCAAGTGGTTAAATATGCTTGAATCTCTTCAGTCTATATTGCTGAAAAAGAAATATTTTTTTTTAAACTCTAATTCTGAAGCCAGTTTAAGTTCTGTTGTGTCCTCTTGGGTCTGTTTTTTAACCTAGGAAAAAATCACAAGCCTGAGATACTGACTTCATCCTTAGCTTGAACTCAAAGGTATCAGCAAAAGTCACAAAACCTAAAAAATGCTGATGGTCCTGAGCACATTCAACTGAAAACCAAGTCTGAGTGTATCTGATGGGCATTTATGCCACATCAAGATTTATTTAATGAACTATATGCAAAGGCACAGGGATGAGTTTAAATCAGGACAGTTCTTATACATTGAAACAGAACACCGGTAGTGAAACAATATTTATTAATTCCATTAAGAAACAGCTACCTATTTTATTCTCATAATGGCCACATTAATAAGTTTAAGGCATCTGAGGTTAGGATCAAAATTTGGCCAAAGCTTCTTAATATAGACCTTAAAACATTGTGCACCGATGTTCTTTCTAACAAGTTTGCCTTCAGGACCAGTAAATACAAGATTTTTTTATTTTCAGTTGATCAAAGTTTTTATTAGCAAAGACTTATCTCAAAATGCTGGGACTGATTTAAGAATTAAAGTTTCAACATATCAATCTTAAAGAGCGAAGTGTTTCAAAGCCAAGAGGCAAGAAAACCTTGTTATGTACATGTATTTTTATATGATCAATCAGATTGCAGGTTCTAAAATTGCTCATATCCAGCGTGATGGCGCTTGAGACCAATAAAGTAAGCCAGCAACACTAGAATAAGTACTCCTGCCAGGGCTGCTCCCACCGCTATGGGCACAAGGAAGTTGTCGTCATCTGCACTGCAGTCTTGAGCTAGATGTGGAGAAAGGACAATTGAGAACAGAAACAGTGACAAAATGTAAAATCTGTAAATTTTAAGTTAAAATGACAGCACTTTCCAACACACATATTTGTTTTTTACACCAAGGTAACAAGTCACTGGCATTCATGACCAGCAAATGAGATGTTCCACAAAAGTGATTTTGCAAATAACCAAATCATACACTTTTAAGTAACCCCCCAAAAATGCAGTCATTTTAGATGAAAGACATATTAAATGATCACATGCTTCCCAGATTTCTTAAACAGAAGATAATGGATAAAAATAATTAGCCTTTCCTTGATGATCAGGCCATGAGCTTTCAGAGGTAAGCTTATGACGTTGAAGAAGCACAGTGCCTGGAACACTGAAGACCATGAAATATTAATGAAATGTAAAAAACGAACAACTATACAAAGCAGACGTAAGAACTCAATGCGTAGCTATCTGGGGTCATTTAGTAGAGGGAAAAGACATAAACTGGCCCTGACTGCATAACTGTTTCCCTCAAATGTTCAGTCTAGTGTGAGAGTCAGACAAGAAAATCAGTGGTTATAATTTCAAAATGTACCATAATAGGGGCAGGCAACACGCAAAGTGTCATGGAAGTGTTTCAGAGGCACACTCAACTCAGCTTTGTTACACAAGAGGTGACGCTGGAGCTGAGTTTTTAAGAATGAGTGGGGAGCCGGCCCCATGGCTTAGCGGTTAAGTGCACACGCTCCGCTACTGGTGGCCCGGGTTCGGATCCCGGGCGTGCACCGACGCACCGCTTCTCCAGCCATGCTGAGGCCACGTCCCACATACAGCAACTAGAAGGATGTGCAACTATGACATACAACTATCTACCGGGGCTTTGGGAAAAAAAAAAAAAAAAGGAGGAGGATTGGCAATAGATGTTAGCTCAGAGCTGGTCTTCCTCAGCAAAAAAAAAAGAGAGATGAGGATTAGCATGGATGTTAGCTCAGGGCTGATCTTCCTCAAACAAAAAAAAAAGAAAAGAATGAGTAGGAATTAACCATGCAGGTAATGGGGGGAAGGCCATTCCAGATATAGAAAACAGCACAGATAAAAATATGAAGGATAAGAAAACACGGCACTTCAGGGGAAATGCAAGCAGGTTGGCATAGCCAGAACAATGGATAAGGAGACACTCTTGGCTGGAAAAGAAGCAGAAAAAGGGTACTAGGACCAGTTCACAAAGGCATTGTATGCTCTAGGTAGTTTGGCCTTATACTGATGGCAAAAAAAAAAAAAAATGCAGCAGGATTTTAAGCAGGATATTAATTTCAGAAGTTACGGCAGATGGAAGACTGGAGGCAGCTCTATTGCTAGAGGCCAGATGGCCAATAATATGGTCCTGAACTGGGTTAAAGAAGCACAGATACAAACACATAGGGACAGAGATTGGATTGGTGGTTACCAGAGGGGAAGGGGGGAGGGAGGAGGGTCAAAGGGATAATTCGGTACATGTGTGTGGTGATGGGTTGTAATTAGTATTTTGGTGGTGAACATGATGTAATCTATGCAGAAATAGAAGTATAATGATGTACACCTGAAATTTTTACAATGTTATAAGCCAATGTTACTGCAATAAACAAAAAATTAAGAGCCAAAAAAAATAAATAAATAAATGTGGAAGGTGATGTGACAAATCAAAAAAAAAAAAAGAAGCGACGGACTAGAGATCCAATTAGAAGGCAAAAATTGATCAAATGGATGTAGGCAGTGTGGTAAGAGGAGATAATAGAATGGTTTCCAATTCCACGCTTGAGTGATTATGTAGATGCTGGTGCCATTCATCATGATGGGGAATACAGGAGAAATGTGTTCACTTCAGTTGTTTGTAGTTATGTTTGTGTGTGGCGGTTGGTTTTTCATTTAATTTTTTTTTATTTTTATGTGTGTGGGGAGAGTAGAGAGGGATATGTGGAAGAGAGAGAAGTTCAGTTTTGGATCTGCTGAGTTTAAGATGCCTGTGTCCCAACCAGGTGGTCGAGGAACCTAAGTGGTAGTTAAAACAAGGGACAAAGATATTTCTTAGCAAGGGCAAATAGGATAAAAAGAGGACCAGAGACAAAATCCTTGGGAACACCAACATTTGAGGGATAAAGGAGCAGGAAAAAGAAGTAGAAAAGGCAGGTAGAATATGATGCCACAGAAGCCAAAGTAGAAAACAGTTTCAATTAGCATGGGAGAACAGTGTAAAATATTAAAGAAGTCTGAGAAACGTCCATTGGATCCAGCAATATGGAGGGTTGCAGGGGGGTATAAGTCAAAGTGCTGCAGGTTTAAGAGTGAATGGGAAGTAATTAGTTAGATCAAGAACATGGGATGGGGAACATACAATACTCACTATGATAAGTTTAGAAGAGAGGACAATATGGAGGTTGCTAGAAGGGGGACATAGGGTCAAGAAAAGGTATCTTCAAGGTGTAAGAAACTTAAATATGTTTATAGGATGAGGGAAAGATCCACGAGCATTTTATATGCTGGAGATGTTGAATGGTACAAGGTCTCCTAGGAGGTAGGAAAAATGGGATTCCAGAAGCATCGACTAGGAAAAGAAAACCTCCTGAGACGAGAGGAGGAAGGAATGGTGCAGATGGAGATACAACTGCAGAGAGGGAAGTAGGAGGCCAGGGTGTTGAACCACCACTTCTCACTATTTTCCATTTCCTTCCTTCTTATTGTCCTAGTTCTCCTCCTAGCTTGCAATCTACCAGGGATTGACAAATCAGATAATTAAGCTTATTAGAATTATGTCAAAAATAAGAATGAATAGGCTGCAAGGCACTTCTGATTGTGCTTGCATTTATGAATGTGCCAGGCTTTTGCTAGCCTCTAGGGCAATAACTGGGAACAAGATGCAATCCTGGAGTTTACAGACTTTATGACATTGACTTTGGCTGCCAGCTCAATGATCTTTTTTATTTGCTCCTTGGTTCTGTTAAGGATCCAGATCGCTGAGGCTGCCAGAGGTGACTTGTGAACATATGATGTTAAGAGCACCCAGTTAGCTCCTCCCTTTCAATTTCCCAAATTACCACCCAGCATATAAACTATTATGTGACATGTACCATAAAGTATTATGCCTTGGATTTAATATAACTTGGTTTTTAAAAAATTCATTAGCAGATTAATTTCTTATTCTGGCAACATATTCATAGTCCTCTCTTTCCCAAATTGGGTATTTGACCCAGTACTAAAACGACTTTCATAAATACTGCCAATAAGGCTTTCATGTAAGACAAATATTCCCAGAGTAGATGAAAAAGGCAATTCTAATACAAAGATCTTTTGAGATGCTGTCACTTACTTAAAATGCTCTCAATTAGTATGTGAAATATTAATTTATAATCACTATTGATTTTATGAATTCAACCTTTAAAAATTCTTTAGGTAACAGAAAATTTTGGTAACATGTATTTTTGGTAAAATATGTATTTACTAGGTAAAATATGATCCTATTAATAGGATCATATCCTGAAGAAAAGAAATCTTATTCTATATTTTGATCTATTTGCCTAATGTACACTCGAGACCATATTGAAAATATTTCTGGAGAAAGGAAAAGTGTATTTGTGGAAGAGTTTAATAGTCACAGAAGCAGTGAAGATTTTTAAAGATAAGTTTCATGGCCATTGAAATTTCAATGAAAAGTTTCATGTAGATTAAAAAATACTGTTCATCTTCAATTTTCTATTAGTTCAGAAATTTTTCAAGTACAATTTTCAGTGTGAGTTGTAAAGCTGAGAGATACATTTATAACAAAATATAAAACAAACTCCTCTTAACCAGTTGTGTCAAAATCTCTCTTTGGAAGAAATCAGCATTAAGAATCACATTCTTATGTGACATCTTACTTATTATATATTACATACCTTTTAGATCTATAGTCAAACCGTTTGAAGAATATCACATGAACCTGAAAAGATACTTCAAGCTACTCAGTATCACCCAAACATTTCTGTACTAGTTTCAAAAACAAGATATGGTAATTATTGATGCAGAAAGTTAGCTACCAGTGTAAAACATAAGCAGATGAGGGGGAGAGAGATGAACCCAAGTCAATTTAACATTATCTACCTAAATAAACGGAGACAAAATGCTATAATCTTAAAAATATGAGTCTTATAAGAATTCCTCCTGAAAAATGGAAGAAACTTCAGATGGTGCGTTTTTACACTGTATGTAAAGTATGTTCTTGATACATGACAAGCAGCTTATCAGATTCCTTCTAAAAATACTCATATATTCATTGAAATGGAAACTATCACTCAAAGAAATAAGAGCAACAGGATTTTAAGGACTTTCGGTCCCAGATGAAGAAACCGAGGCCCCAGAAGTTAAGCAGCTTGACCCAAGTCACATGGCAGCTAGTACCAGAGTTGGGAGCTGTGATGATTTACTGGCAGTCACATGGCTTAACTGGGTAATCCAGAGGAAAGTTATTAGCCAGGTTGCTAAGTTCTTTTTGTGTGATATACTAAGGTGACTGGGAAGTACTTGGAAATCGGAAGGTTCAAGTATTTTAGGGTGATCTGAGAGAGAGATTGCCACAATCCTATTTAGGTTCAGATCAATAGCTCGGTTTGTATGGCTGCAATATATAGCTGCTATGTATAGATACTATATATTAGCCTCAGTTTAGGAATTGAGAAAAGTATACAAAGAGATACTCTGAAGCTTTTACAATGAAATAAATAGTCTAGATCACTGGTTCCCTAATTGGCTACACATCAGATTCAGCTGGGGAGCTTGCTTACACACACACACACACACACACACACACACACACACGCTTCATCCCAGACCTGCTAAGTTAAATCCTCTAGGAATGGAGCCTGGAATCTGAATTTGTATAACAAGCTTCCCAGGTGAGATTCTTATTCTGTAGCCAGCCCGGCATCAGTAGAGACCTATGTATGGAACCACTCTTCCAGACAGTAATAGACAGAACATTTTGGAAATAATTTAGTTCTACTTCTAA